CCTGTGTCCTGAGAAAATCTTGTGCCGCAGCTGAGGGGCTGCAACATAAATCTAACTCTTTTTGGCTCAGGCATGGGAGGGCAGGACCTCAGGAGGGCCGGTTTGGTGTCAATGAATGACTCCTAGAGATGTCAGGTGGGTCGTCAATGTCAATTTCCTTCTAGAAGCCTATTGCCGGGGTCTTCGCCCACAGTGTGTCAAACTAGAGAGGCACCGATGTCATCAAGCCCGATCTGCTCATGCTTCAAGATCGAAAGGTGCTGAGTTTCTTGGATGCGCGACCAGACAGGATGTGCAAGATCACGAGATCGGGATCACATGCAGACGCTGAAGTCCAAGGGACGTCAAATTGGCATCGACATTCTCATGAACTTGTTTGATGAGGTAAATCCATCTTGCGCGATTTGGGTGTCGGACGGATGGACTATGGATTTCTCCATCGGATTCTGGGACACCCGGCACATAGCATGCCTTCATGGGAGTCAAGCCACCCTGGGAGGTGAGTGATGGTGAAGGATGGACATAGTGGTGCCATAATTAGTTTATTACGTCTCAAGTAGCTACGAACGAGATACCGTCATCTGGAGGGATTTTGGTCCTCAAATCTTCGTCCCTCCCGTCCCATCTGCTCCACCCCCGGGGCCCAGAGGACTTCGATCGGCGACGGGCGGTGGAGCTGAAGCATGGAAGGATTTGCATGTTCGCCACCATCGGCCGCTTGGATTTGTGTTTCTGGGAGATTCGGACACGATCTGGTTTGTCCAACGACGTCGCGGAAGAAGCCGACACACCGCAATCACCCCCCACATGCAAATGAAGCAAAGAGTCTAACCGGAGATGTAAACTTACTGACTCTGGTGACATGGGATGTTTGGTTCTTTGCCACACATCTCACGTTCTGGTGGTTTTATGATGTTTTATGATCAGAAAAAGGGCATCCGGCTTTTTGCCATGGCTCGGTGTCCAGGTGGCTGCGGAATTTTTCATAGGAGGTCAAGAGGAAGTGTGTTTGAAGGTTCTGGCAAAGCATGACAATGCATTGGAATCCAGAGTTCTTGCCGAGGATAGTAGAATCGTTTTACCCAGTTGGTCCCAGTTACTACAGTATTCATTGATATTCATTGTAGTATTCATTGTATATATTGAGGAACCAGTTGTCTATATATATATGTTTGTTTTGTTTTGACTGGCTGTATAATGCATGCTTCATGGCCGATGGAACCACGACAAGAGACTATGTAGGTACATGCCCAACCATGATAGTCATGTCATTGGTGGGATAGTCTACTACGATGATGCAATATTTGCATGAGCGAGTTATTGTGTCCCGGCCTCGTTTTCTTTTTTCATCCCGTTCGTTGGGAAGGAACTCGTGAAGAACTCTTTCGCTTTCATCAGACAGAGATACCTAGACCTAGACCTTCCAAAGGGTGTCCAATGGACTACCCGGACTACCCTACTCTACTTAGGGACCTTGGTCCATGGGGCACCCGTTGGATGGTCCAGGTATAGTATTATATGAACATTCTATATTAAACTATATATATGTGATTATATGTGTGCGTCTTTAATGTTATTTTAATAGATTGATTTTGCCCTGTAGTTAAGGGAATTTCCCGCAGATGTTGGCAATGGACGAACACTATGTTGGATCTTTGGAACACAAACAATGCACCACTGGCAAAAGAGTGACTTCAACAAAAAAGGTTGCACCTCCGACCTAATTTGCTAGAGCATCGAAATGGTTGTTGATGTATGACTAAGATAACAGAGGTATGTCTCGACCATGAGGGTTGATCGATGTTTATTTGCTTCATCCATGTTTGATGATCAAACTTTGATCCATTCTTTTTTCCCTCATGGAACCAACAAAACATCAGTTTGAATAAGGTTTCATGGGTTCTTTCTGGTTTTGATCACCCTCCCTTCACACATGGGTTCTGAACGTGGCCCCCTTAAGCCCTGTTTCCGGAGGCTTCAGATCAAGAGCCCCGAGTCGGACCTGTCCAACGGTCGTCAGGTCGTCCACGAGGTCGTTCTCGAACCAAGGTCGGTAGGTTAGGAGGTCCCCAGGTTGATGGAAGAAATCGGACCCATGATCCAGCTGAAAAAAAGACTGGAAGCACCATGTCAGACAGTAGAGTAGCGGGATAGTATGGCATAGTGGCGTGTCCATTTTCCTCAGGTGCTGAGGTGTTTTATCTTTAGCGGCTTAACGCACAGCGCTGCCCACCGAGAAGACACGTGAACACCACGGCAGAACCTGGTGAGTTTTGGAAGCTCAAATAGAGAAGATGTTGGGGTGATGAGGTCCTCTTCGGTCCAGTTTAGTTGAGAGCTGCACTCCGATCCTCTGACTTGAGATGAAAACGGAGCCAGAAGCTCCTCGTCAGAGTGTTCGATGGTGGAAGACATGACTCGTGTAGCAAAAGATCGAAGTGTTCGGGTTTCCAGTAGCAAAGTCTTTGGCTTTGACGATGTTCTTGGTGTCGTGAGTCCCCAGCATCCATTGTCCATCGTCTCTCTTGTTAGCACCGTAAGTGTGACCAAGAACCGTGCTCACTGAGGTTGTAGGACCGAGGTGGTCTCCCAAAATGCTTGGTGAGTCAATTGAACGGTCAGCCCCAAGGAGTTCCACAGGGTAGCTACTGGCGGGTAAGGGTTAGCTGCGGTTAGCTTTTATAGCATCTCCAAGCAATCTTTTTGATTCAAAAGAAAGTGTGCACGACTGTTCCCAGAGTCGGTTTCTTTGTCTCGTGGCTGTCGCGGGAAGTGTATCCAAGACAGATCCCATCAAATTTAAGTTACTACTGTGGGTACAAACAAAAAAAATAATACGTTCTACAGGAACGACGCGGGGCCATTGCATTTTGCAGGATGTTGCATGCAGTCGCTGCAGGTCGAAACCATTAAGTGATAATGTACATGCCCACATGATGGTCTCTCAGGCAAAATCAGACATGGGCAACACTTTCATTGCATCAAAGCCAAGTCAGCCATAGCGACCAATCAGGCACTTTGTTGTTTTGGTCCAGCTTGCGAGAGTTTGCTTGAAGGTTTGCTTGCGCAGACTACGTGGTCCAAGGCTTGTGAAGGAAAGGCGTGATTGCCGTCACAGCCCCGCTACTTGTCAATTTGTCCCGCGAGGCTCCTTTAGAGCCCCGGGGGAAAGAAGCAGTTAGAGAAGTATCAAAGCAACCAGGCGCTTGCACAAAGAGCCGGCGGTGGGTGTCATGAGTGTGCTCTCTCAATCCTGGGGCAACCTTTGTATGCAACAACTACTATAGGACTATAGGTTAAAAGAAGACCTGTTTGATGGAGCTGTCATGTTAAAAAGTGTCATATGTCTCTCCTTGTGCTCTTTGGGATCTCGACCTGCACCTGGTGCAACAGGGCACAAACCGGGTGCAAAATTGATTAAACCCTACGCCGCACACTCTCCAGCTCAACTTTTGGCATTCCAACGATCAAACGGTCACTCTGGGATGCGCTGCAACTTGCAAAAAATTGAGAAACAAGTCTATGGCGGAAATTTGCGGGAATATGGCAGGAACTTGCGGACTGAACATTTACAGCATGTTGGGCATCTCGCAAACACTTCAGCTTGACCAGGCTGCGTTTCGAAACCTTATCTTTTGCAGAACCTTCAAATGTTATTTATCCCACTATAGGTCATCATATGTCATTTGTTCGTACATATCGTTTCTTCAGTCCGGCATCGCGTTTTTTGTGCTTTCAACTATCACTGTTCTGCTTGGAGTCCATCGGGTGGTCCTGGGTGACAGGGTTTTCATTGTGTGACTGCGACGGAGAGGACACCACCGGAAGGGAGGAGGTGAACAGTAGCTTGCACGAGAGTCCAATCAATTCTTGGAGGAAGGACTCGTTTGTTGATTGGGTTTGGGTAGTGTTGTGCTAGGGTGGCGGTATTTTTTTTAGGTCTATTCTGTATATATATATATATATCTGTGTATATTTATTTTGTGTTCTGTGGTCTTCGGCAATTAAAATTGACATGTGGCTTGGTCTCACTGTGATCATTCCAGCTCATGACGAGTAAGACGAACACACAGTTTGTTAGCAGATGCGATCGCAATTGCTGCAACCATGCAAAATAGTTCCTTTGAACGAAGTTGGCCAATGTTCCATGTTGTCATGTCAGCTATGTCAGCTCAAACACCGGGATCGCTGTGTTTGCCTTTCAATGTAATTAGTCAGGTTGAGTGGGAATGGCCCAAATTTTACCCTACTCAACAATCCTATTGTGTTGGTTGGTTTTGTTCGCCCAGTAAAGGAAAAAACCAAGTTGCTGACAGCCCGTATTACAAAGCACCGGCGTTGCGTTTTTTTGGTCGGTGGTCAGCCACTCATGAGAGAAATGCATCCAAGAGAAGGACCACGTAGATTCAGTGTCGGTTCCCAGAAAACGTGCGCCCTTGGGCCAAAGGGGCCTTTTTCCCGGCTAAAAATTGATAACTGCAGTGTGAAGAAGTCCTGATTGCAGCCCTGCGGTTTGACAATTCATACAATATGTTTCCACTCAACCAGCCCCACGGGCTTGTTGTCATCGGCACGAACACCGCAACTGGCCGCACGAGGCATGCTTTGGCCTGACGTGTTCGGAAGCTTAGTTCTGGGAACCGCAGTCCGCAAAACAGTGACACATGTCCACTCAGTGGACATTTAGGATGACAAATTTGACAAACCTTGGCCCCATCAGGAATGAATAGTTTAACGCCAATAGACTATAAAAGAGAAACACAACCAAAACCAATGTGTGTATACATTCATACGTAGCTTAGAACACAAACGTGGACATGTACAGAACCAAATGGCAAACATGAAGGTAAACACCAAGGCAACATATTTGTGATCGAAGGTTCCAGTTTGTGAGACAAGGAGTTTGCATTGGAAATGCCAAACAATCGCATGACAACCATAGAACAAACACAATTTAAACTAAAGCCAACCCAAATGAAGCATTTGATTTTTGTATGCTGTGCTTTTGATAGTGTCCGGGTTGTGTTGTTTGTTTTTGTATTGTACTGACTATATAATCGTTTACACGGTGGCACATATAATATCACAACTATTTGTTTTCGAAGATTTCGAAGGGGATATGAACCGGTACACAAACATACACCCGACTGACAAGCACAATCCTTAGACATCATCACAAAGACCTGAACGTCAAGATTCTGCGTTCATGTGCGTTTTGTTTGCGTTTCGCACATGTTCAAGTTCTTAGATGCATTCCATGTGCAATCATTATTGTCATGTTTAAGCCATGATTTGTTTTGATACCAGTATGTGATTCACTGTCTTTTCTCTTTTGCGCAAATGTTGACGTGTGGTCACGTGTAATTTGATTTATGTATGCCTCCGGGATTCGCCACGGAAATGATGAAATGATACTTCCTCGGCCAAGCGGCTGACACCTCGACGCTTGCCCATGGGGCCCATGTGAACTCGAGATGGTCAAAACTGCCATATTGTTTGAAGTTAAGGTGGTGCCCCCTCAATGTGGGATCCGTCCACTCCGATGTTCTACTAAACTACTAGGAACGATATGTCGGCTAGTGGGGAGTGAGTCAGTTGGAGTAGTTGGAATCCATGGGCTTGGATATTGGACCCTCCTGAAAGCCAACATGGACCCTGACATTGGCCGTCTGAACAAAAACGGTTTTCCTGTACAAACTGCTGCTTTTTAAGGGTCCAAGGGGGCGTTGATAGGATATCAACAAATTCCGTTGGAAACACACAACTTTTGTTACCAGTGTCAAAACCATCCACATAGCGGCAGTGAATCCTTAGCCTTATCCTATTGTGGGCGGCACATGAGGAGTCATGAGGAGGTTGTTTTTTGGGTTTTGTGTGGTTTGTCAAAGGTTCTCAGACTGTTGGTTTTATTGAGCGCCCTCACCAATACCATGTGAGCCCCATTTCAGCGGAAGAATTGTGGAGGAAAGCAACCAAATGCAGAGGTCTGATGACTTGCGTTCAGTGTGATTTTGACACCATGGAGTCCACACATAGAATGCAGTTGCTGATAGTTTCAGGGGTGCATGGGCCTCCGGGAAACATATTTTTTGTTGTTTTGTATTGTTTTGTTTTTTTTGATTGAACAACTCTGTCGTATGAATGACAGTTTACCTCAAGACTCAAGACCCCGTTCGGTCTATTTGTTTCTTGGTTGTCTCGCGCCCCGTTTTACAAGGCGTCCCAGCTTAGGTCCCCGTGCAAATCCAGGTGACCACCTATAGGTCGAACGGTCCAACCAGGGATGGGTCGTGACCCTGGAGCCCAGTCCGCTTAGCGAATGACCGTCTCGTCTCGTCGGTCAACCGGTCGGCATCCTCCCAAACAAGTGGTTTGGGGGTCCAAACCCACTCAACCCCGGCGATTGCACCGTGCGGGGAATGCACCGGCCGTGAGGTTTGGAAAGTTCGATGGCTACTTGTCCCCGTCGCAAAACCTGAGCCTCGGGCGGAACGGACGTTCAAAGACGGGTGAAACACCCGCGCAAGGTGAGGGAACTGGGTCACCGTTGTTGCGTCGTTGCGGCATGAGGGAAGTTATAGTGGAAGGATATATATATATGTATAATATGATATATTGTTAATACTGATAGAGATGGGGATTCCATACGCTTGACGGTTGATGAATAACCCCCCATGCCCTACCTTGGTGGTCTTTGGCTCGGGGACCATGAAGACCTTGGTGCGTTCCCACTCCAATGGTTATTGCACAGAGGGGTTACTCCAAACTTGTTTGCAGCCCAGAGGTACCTCCTCATGAAGAGATTTCGTCTTCGGGGCCTCTCCTAATGAGATTTAGTTTAGTCGTGGTGACCTCTCCTGACTGACTCGTAGGAGCAAGGACGCTAGTAGGAGAAAAGGGCATCGCTACTAGGAGCCTCGTGTCGACATGACTGGGATTTGAGCGACGGGTCCTGAGGGAGGTACAACTTGATGCTGGAAATTTGTTTGCCAAGTTGTAAGCTGGAATGTACCCACCAGAATTGGTGTCAAAAGCCCTCTTCATGCCTGGAATCGCATCATGTTTTCTGTAATTCCCAACGCACCAACATTTAGAACATGTGTTTTCAATGTTTTTATTGACTGTAATGCCTGAAAGGCCACGGCCATAAGATGGTGAGTCAGGAGTCAGAACCCAATGTCCTTCTACATCAAATCCTTTTCCGCACAGTCTCCCATGGCTCGACTGCTCGATCTCCCAGGAAGTTTGCCGACGTGCCGTCGGGCTTGGCGGCCATCTCCAAGGCGCCGCGGCACGCCGTGGGCGGCCGTGCCGAATCGATGAGCGGGTTGTTGTCAGAGCAGGGACTTCCAGGTCCCCCAGTCAGGTGTTCAAGAGAGACTTACAAATTTAGAGGGTCTATGTTGGGTGATTACGAAATGTGTTGGAGGATCGGTCCAATGCAGGTCCCATGGGTCTGGGGTCCAATGGGGTTTGATGATACCAGCGCACCCACCAAAATGCTTCGTCTTTTGGTCTTAGCAGGAGTCGGTATCGCATTCCAGAAAAAAAGAACAATCAAACATATGCTGACTCATCCATGATATTCTTCTCATATTCCTGGACCAATGTCTTCACATCCCCTTGCCTTTAGGCAAATGCCCATCATTGAATGCAGAATGGATCATACCTCAGATGTAACTACAGATCTCACCCCACCTCCAATCCCATGGCAATGGCCTTGCCTCAGTCCAATTAACAAGACAAAAACAAATAAATAGCTCATCCATGAATTAATGCAACAATCTTCATGTAAACCAACACAAAACTACCTATGCCAGCCAGGAACCTCATCCTTCTCATAGAGCAGCCATTGGGTCATCAGCTCATTCGTCATAGACTGTGAGCAAGTAGCATCATTTGCCCATTCTTAGCTGCATTGAGAGATTTAAGGCAATCAGTGCTTATTATACGTAAATGATTTAAACACGAATAAACACATTTATATTACCCCAAAAAACTGACCAATAATCTCACCAACACCCATCCCCTCAAATCTGAAAAGCGCTGCTCCATGTGGCGCAATCTGTCCTCAGATGATGAACCCACCAACAAATAGTATTAAGCATATATACATATATATATATATTTCCGTATCTAAATATATATAATATACTTGTTTTTTTACTGACTAGTAACAACAAATCAACAGAAAAGAATACAAGTCATCTAAGAATCTTTGATCAGCCCACCTGATGTATCCATTCTCCCTTCCATACTTCAAATGTTGGAGCTCATAGCGCCCATGGTGTCCAGCAATTCACCCATCGCCCTCCTACCCCATGTAGATAAACCCAAACAAACACAATTTCCAATATGTGTTCAAGAACCAATGAACAAATTGTTTATTTCCTCATACCCCAAGCTCATGGTCAGCAGCACATAGACCATCAAACCCATGAGCCCAACCACCATTGTCAGGCCAATCAGCCCAATGACAACCATCATCATATCAGCAATCATTGCTGATAGGCGCAAACAGGCAGATAGCAAATCTCACTCAACCAATCTGACATAAAAACTCATGTTCCAACCACCTCATTGACACACCGTATCAGTTCTCATGTGGGTTCCCAAACAACCCATGCATCCCACTCTAACCTTGCGCATTAGCATGCTCATGTGTTTTTTACTTCAAAAGAAACACAATTTATCACCCACATTCTTTATGGAATGGGGGAAGGTCATCATAGACAATTTGCTCACCGGGCCCATCAAAAGTGAAACTTGCCATACTGTACTGGATGACAACTGGATTCCTTATGATAGCCTGCATGATGCCCATGCCGATGGTGGATCTCATCCTCATTCTCAGGGTCATAGGGAACTGTTGTGCCAGCATTGGTGAATTCACATCCTATCCCAGAAGTTCCATTGGACATATCCTGCTCATCTGCAATGCTCTCACCCAATGGCTCTTCGGGTCTATGCTCCATATCCCCCCCAATTTGGGGAATCTCTCCAAAGAACCTTGTGGAACCCATGGAATGATCCAGCCATAGATACACCAATGGTCTGAATTGGCAGGGTGGTCACCATCCATCCATTCCCAAGCTCATAAAGAATCTTCTTTTTGGACCATTATTGTCCACATACACATACATAAAGTCAGGTTTTGCCAAGCCCAGCATGCCCTCAATGATCACCCACACATTGCGCAGCACATGGTTTCTCATGATACCACCCAAGCTCAAAACCTCACTAACTGGTTCCGAAATATATTCTATCAATCACATGAATCATGCGGACCAACCAATGGGGCACCCAGCAGGTTCTGATCTCCCCTTTTTGGGCCACCAAGCATTGTGCAAAACAGGCTTTCCGTAGGACCCATGACCATCACTCATGTGCCCAACAAGTGGTCGTCTCACAGGGTGCCCAGACATTCAGCTCATGAATTTCATCTCATTTTTGCTCATTCAATGCCTCAATGCACCATTTGTGACATTCCGGGAGTTTTGGATGTATGGCATGGGAGTTGGCTTGGCACCAAATCCCATTCCATACATCACACAAACCCTATGTCAGCTGTTTTTCTCATCCAATGCCTCAATCCCTCATCTGGGACATTCCAAGATTTTGGGATGTATGGCAAAGGCAAATCCCATTCCATACATCCCCATGTCAACTGTCTTACTCATCCAATGCCTCAATACCTCGTCTCCTCCATATTGGAAGGCCCCTAGCCGATTTATCTCCCTTTGGGAGGCCATCAGATCAAACCAATCCTCTATATACACTCCACCAATCAGACCATCCAGTATAGGCGTCCACCCTCACCACATAGAGCCTCCATTGCCCATTCCTCCTCGCTCTCAGATGCAAGCTCCCAATCCTCCTCGCTCTCAGATGCAAGCTCCCAATTGGCATTGTTGTGATCTCTCATCAAGCTTGTTTGTGCCAATATGCTAAGCTCTCATGGGTCTCATGGTTCACACAGAACCCCATCAACCATCATCCATCATCAGGTAATCGCCTCTAATCATTAGGGTATGTGGTTTGCAATACCTCCAATCTCAAACCTTGTTGACCTTGAAGGGGGAGTGATTAATCCTACGTCGACATCACTCAAAAAGAAATGGAGAACCTGTTACTTGATCCCCGAACTTGCGCAGGTCAGACCTCTGTTGGTGCCTAATCGTTGGCTAGAGATGTATTCACATTGCATCGCCATATCACTTGAGTTCCGCTGTTACCTTGCATCACCTTCCAGAGGCCGTAGCAGCTTTTGACCCAAAAACCTCAACCAACTGCGCGCCAACTTCCGGCCCCGTTTTTCTCCCGCAATCTTGGCAGGTTCCATTGGAGGGCTGGTTGCAGGTCCTTTTGGTGGCCGGACTGATCGAGACGCAGCTCTTCAAGGCCGAGCGGAGCAAAAGCAAGAGCTCTGAACGTGAAGAATTCCGAGCAGATTTTGGAATGTACCACTGGTTTGTGAGGTGTTACTAGGAACAGTAACAATATTATTAGTACCTTTATCACGACATTCCGAACAGATATAGACAAATCGGTATACATATGTGTATATATATATATATGGTTGACATCATCACATCCATGTTATTTCTTGGATCTTGAGATGTCTTTTCTTGGACATGTTTGTTTCTGTGTGAAGCAGAAGGCAACCGGTCAGACGCGCATGTTTGTGTATATGCAATCTGCAGGTCCAGTTCCATTTCATTCAGTGAAGTCCCATTTTTCCGATAGATCCGAGGGGGAAGGGGAGGAAGATGGAGGGATGGGTTTCTCCTTGTTCTTCCCAGTGCCTTTCTTGGCATCTCGGAGCCGGGAGACAGGACCAATCCTTTGGTGGTTTCGCCTATGCCAAGTATGGCAGCTTGGCCGAGCTGTGAGATCGGCATCCCTGTGGTTCAGTTCTTCATTTCGGTGTGTATGAAACTAGGGAGACCTGCGAAAGACTCACTGGAAGAAGGAAAATAGACCACACCCCACTAATTGGTGGGGAGTTTCCTATTGAAACACAAATTCATTTCTATCCTTCGTATTCTTTTTTTTGTTCTCAGCTGATCCTCGTTTGTGTTCCCTATGCGTAAACCGAGATGTCCAATCACAAGCAGTCTAGTTCATAGGCTGGCCCAGTAGCAGCTGCTCCACAAGGTCCGCAACGTAGATCTACACCTAAAAACAATGTTGCGAGTAGCCTTCACCTGCCTAACCGAGCTTTCCAACCCCGCTTACCTGCAGGTGTTCATGCAGCACCTTTGTGACAGCTTGTGGCGAGTGGCGGGTGCACAATTCTTTGCACAAGAAGTCTTGCTAGAAGATAACACCTGTCGTGTAATGACTGTCGATGGTGTGGGAACCCCCCTTGTTCATGGAAGGGGTCGACCAGTCCGTTGACGGTTCCCAATCACCTGATAGCACGTTTGACTCAAGCAGGTGTGGCTCTTCATTCTGTGGCACACCGCCGGCACTGAGGTGAGCCAGGCAACTTTGGCACAGGCTACTGGGGCCGAAAGATTCAGGACTGTGTGCGAAGCCGGGCGAGTGGGTCTGTGGACTGTTAGGCTGGGATGATCGGAGCGAATTCCATTCGATTCGGTCGCCAATGGTTCCAATATGTTCCAATGGCTCCTGAGGCTCAATATGTAGGTGTGGAACATTGTGGAACTTGAAAGTAACTTCGGGTTCTGGAACCTTTGTTACTATGATCAATCGGGTACTTGAAGTCTTTGGCACACTAGGAAGTCATGAGTTCCGGGCAGTAGGAAAGCCAGGTGTGTACCAGGCAAGCCACATGCTGATCTCTTTTGGGAGGAATCGCTACTCTGGGTGGTGATTTCAGATATTATGTTTCAACCTTTGCTTGGGATCATTGAGGCCACTGGCCACTGACCATATTTTTTGAAGTGAGTTGAAACCACCAACCAGTACTTACTAATTAACCAGCGAAATGCAGAAGGTCAGAGCCCCAGCCTTGGCCTAGCGAGCATCTCGATTTGCCCTGGAATGGGGATATGGGCACCAGCACCCACGAAGGGAGGTGTGGGGCCAACGCTAGTCAGATACGGGCCCAATGTCTTGAGAACCTTGACCCTATAATGACCCTATGTTAAATTGGAGATCAGATTCTAGAATGGAAAGCTCGTCCACAAGCCCATACACGTGCAGTTTCGAGCGTCATGTCATCATATCAAAGCTCGGAGCGTTGACCGGGATGTCGGTGCTGGAGGTGATGCCAAGTGACATGTCCACTGAAACAGTTCATGTGCGTGTATTGAAATAGGAAGACCTCCCAGTTCGACCCCGTGGAAGGTTCGGAAAAAAGACCAGTCGACAGTCGGCCCAGCCAGGGCCAGGGGGTCTCAAATTAATACACACCCATGTCAGGAATACAATTGCAGAGCAAAGTTCAGCCGAGATTATATACTATGTATCAGCTTCTTGGTCTTGGCTTCGGTCTGTGAAGGACATGTTGACCAAGCTTGCGAGGCCTTGCAATCTTGGATAGATGCTTCTCAATTTTGTTGATTTAGATAGATAAATACCTGAATATATATATATATATGGGTATGGTGTGTTTCACTGCCCTCCACCACGTTTGTGTTCAAGAGTTTTTCCAATACAAAGTCACCAGGCCACCGGCCTATGTTGGGATCCTCTTTGAGTAACTCAGATTTTTTTGCCACGTGATATCACTGATTCACATAATATGACGTGGCCAAAGCTGGAATTGATTGCAGGTCCCAGTGCCCAAAGTCCAAAGAAAAAATAACATATGCAATCCTGTCCTGTGGATACCGACTCGGATCTGTGCCAGAGATGTCCATTGATCCACACCCAGATCCACAATCCAAGCCAAAATCACTAGTCACCAAATGTTCCTTTTTTCTCAACTCTCGACCGGGTCGTAATGCCTCAGTAAAACTCCCTGTTCCATCCCAAGCACTTTGGGCCAAGGCCGCTGACTGTCCAAGCCTAGAAAGGATGCATTTGTGCATCCAACTGTTTGTAAGTAGATATATGTTGTCAATAGGGATGGGGTCCCAGTATAGTCGCTATACAGGTACATGCCATATACTTTTGGCTCAAGTGCCCAACCAGGTAAAAAGGAGCTTTAGCGCGCGAGCTTCATGTTGACCTAAGAGCTAGAACGGGGCCAGGGCACACCTTTCCATCCGTTCACAGGTTATCAGCCGTATCCAGACTCCTTTGAGCTGGGTACGAGCTGCGGCCTTACACAACACCATCTAAACGCACACGCATCGGATAGATCAGTTACTCTCAGTCACTGAAGATGGACCAATCCGACGCCAGCACTGCATCTTTTGGAGCAGCTGCTGCGGCCGCAGATCGGATGAGTGCATCCCACAACTCTAGTCCAGGTACGATCGAAGCGGAGACTCTGACAGCGGTGAGAGAAGATGCGACAGGTAGAGCACGAAGTCGTTCCCCGTCAGCGCACTCGACACCACCGTGGGGGACACCGAGATCAGGCCGTAGCCCTAGGGAGACAAGGAGGAGGACTGACACCGGAGCTGTGAGAGTGTTAGCATTGGAGGATGGGTCAGCTGTACCAGTGCCGTCGGACAGCGAAGCTGGAGATCGAGCAAGGGCAAGCACTGACAACCTACAACTAGCACGGGCCGATGGAGACCTGAATGCGAAGTGTGCGCAACTACTTGCCGAAGTGCATATGTTGAACCACCAAAACGCATGGATGGTCGAATGTGAGCAGAGACAGAACCAGATTATACAACACGAGACCGAAGTCCACGAAGTAGTGATGGCACACCTCGAAGAATGTTATGTCGAAGGATATGGAAATCAACGAAGAATCTCCCAACTTACAGAATCCAGAGACTGTTTGCTCTCAGCAGCACACGACCTGCAATACCAGATGGACACTGATCGTGTGGCAATGCGGGATCGTCTCACCCAGTTAGGGGAGTACGCTGATCGCAACAGCGCAGAGATGGTTAGTCAAGTTGTGAACATCGGCACGGAAGAGATCCAGGCTATATCGGCGGAAAGAGATCGAGCCGTAACCGAGATCATGACTACAATCGCAGATGCTGAGAACGTCAAGGATCTGTGTAGACAGGAGTTGGTTGGACTACAAAGGCAGAATGCCAGAAACAAACACGAACATGCTGAAGAGATGAAGATGAGGGAAGCAATGTATGCAAACAAGATCAAATGGTTATCAGAAGAGAATGAGGAGCTCAACAACCGATCTAATACTCAGGATAAGTTCATCTTGAGCATCAGAGAGCAATTGAAGAAGGCGAACGAGGAGTTGACTCAGACGAGGATTCAAGGATCCGATCGATCGTTTCAACCATCTAGCGCCGAACTCAAGAAGGCCGAAGCCAAGGTGAACATGTTGGAAGAGGACATTCTACGTAAAGAGAGGATGCTGAAACGTCTCCAGGAAGAATTGATCGAATCAAGCGCAAGTGAAGCACAATTGAAGGTCGCACTGAAGTTGAAACCACCAGACATGGGATCAGAACCCAGTGTGGAGAATGAGATGATGGCCAAGCTTAGAGCGGAACTTGAACGTACTGAAAAGTTACTAAGGTCCGAGGAGAAAGAGGCAATTGAGTACTACGAAGGTATGATGCAGAACCAACAGGACATGATGGAATTCGAAGCGCATGCATCACGGCTCAGAGATGAGAGGAATAAATACCGGAAGAGGTACGAAGAGGAGCGCACGAGTGCAGAGAGCGCAGCCGCAACCGAACATGGTGCCGCTTCATCCTCTAACTCAGGCGGCTCCAAGATATCTCGGAAGGAACACGAGAAGATCAACATCCCTGCATGGCCCAAGATACACGACCTGGAGGTTTGGAAATCCCAGGTTGTAGCGGCAGTCGTGACTGCATCGGGCGACGAGAAACAAGAAGACTGGATCCAATGGCTCTCGGATGCCTTCAGATCACCATATGACCCATTTCTACTCGAGACATCAGGCGAAGCAAGATTCGCTAGCATAGACGCTAAGCTAGGTATCACCCTACATACGATCATCCACGCAGCAGGTGAGAGATCTCATGACGTACAACTGAAGGTGAGGCAGATGATGCAGAGACGTGCGAGAGGCACAACTCCTGGAATGGTCAAGGGACGAGAAATGTTAGCGTTGATCGTCGATAGTTTCCGGAGTGCCGACAACGTTGATGTGATGTATGCATCCAAGCACTTATTCGATCTAAAGTTCCCTGGGGATAATCAACTATCCAGATTCCTTGGACAGTGGGATGAGATCATATCAGGTATGGATGCGGATGACATGCTTCCTGACAAAGCACTTCGCAACCTGCTTTGGGATAAGATTAAGGATTCCAAAGTTATGGCGTTAGACTTGTCTGTGTACGACAACATGTTGGATAAGGATCCGGATAAGACCTACCAGAAGTTACGAGAGATCATGACGAAGTGGATACGGAAATCAATTGAGACCACAAACAAGAAAGAAAGGGAGAAAGCTTTTGGGAACATCGTGAGAGCCACACCAGCGGCGGAGAAGAAGGAACCTAAAGCGAAACCCAAGAATACCAAGACCGATCCACCGAAACATGACGCCGCTCCAGTGCTTCCTCAGGCTAATCCGAAGGACCACAACAAGAAGGACAAGAAGCAGGATCGTGGAAGATCAGCCACGAAGAGCCCAAAAGGGGATCGTGGCAGGTCAGCGACTCCAGCAGATACGTCTAAGATAGGATGCGCTTTCCACTTCCATGGGAAAAGCGGATGTTCTAGAGGAGACAAATGCAAGTTTAGTCACCTAGAGAAGCACAAGAGTTCTGCTAAGAAACCAGAAAACCTCAAGGGTGACAGATCAAAGAGTCCCGGTGGCAGGAGCAGTAGCCCTAGGCCAGTGAAGGATCAGATCTGTTGGAATTGGCAGAAAGGATCGTGCAAGTTCGGGGACAAATGTCAACGTCAGCATCACGCTGCTCCTGCTACAAAACAAGAGGCTAGAGGCAAAGCCAAGCCCAAACCGGCTGCGCCAGCCTTCATGCTTTGCGGAGACATCGAGAGTGATGACGAGGACGTACAACCCGCACTTCCCAACGTACAACAAGGTAAGCTGGCGCTTCGCTTTAAAGTCAGATTCGATGACCAGGCGAATGTGACCACGTTCACCTGCGATCCTGGTAACGAGCTAAACAACCGTCCCTCCAAGAAGAAGAAGAATGAGGTGCAGAAGGTGGATACTGAGCTCATTTCGTCGTTGAGAGCCCTCAGAGTGAGCAACATAGCTGCACGAGTAGCACATGCCAAAGGTAAGATGATGGAGCTATTCTATGCTGAACACATTGCCAAGGCATGGATACAAATCACTCAAGATGAAGGAATCGAGGTGAACGTCGACCTGTCTGATTTCAACACCAGAGAGGTAGTAAGGAGGGATTTTGTCGACTACACGATACCAGGAACCACGATGTTCATGGCTGTGGAGAGGTATGATGGACCACCAATACGCTTCATCATGGACACAGGATGTGGACACGAT